AGAAGTATATTCCTCATTCAGAGCAAGGACCATGCACCCATGGATGTCTTCCAAGTTAGGAAACTTAGCAACAAGCTTGTTCAGACAGTCTTGATTAGTACTACCTGATGAAACATCCAATGGCAATTCAGCCAAATCCAGTTATATCGCGTGCCCTGGCAAAGAACAGGACTTTAATCTGAACAGATGAATCCTCATCAACTGTGGTCGAGCTAAGTGAGTTATCATTAGTGATTTGCGTTTCCATTGCATCCACAAAACAAAATGGATTAATCAAAGTTGAACATGTTTGCAGAAAAAACACTAAGATAAACATTAGAGATCAGGATTCAGGTAAGAATGAACAAATTAGATTCTCACTCAGCAGGCAATATATCTTCATGCAACCATGAAATGATGGCCAAAATAAACCTTAAACATTGAATTTGTTTTTTCGCCCCACAAGGGATTTGTTTCCTTTTGTTTCCACTGTCATGTCAATTGATTAGCAATTTAGAAGTTTCCAATCCTAGGGCTCAAGGGATTTTATTTCCATCCTGGGAAAACAGACAGAACAATACAACAAACATTACCAAAAGCTTACTGGGAAGAAAACTAGAACTCAGTAACTAGTCCAATCTATCATGGCAACAAAAGTAGCCCACTAGCCACTTTTAATGCTGTAAATATCTAGAAGGTGAATGCAAACCAGGATAGCTACTGCCTCTTGTCTTTAAATCTTGTCAACTATCCCCTACCTAGTATTTCAAACAAACAAATAATCTCAGAAGCGCCCATATTAAATTATCTATAATAGGCAAAAAGAAAGAGGCAAGGATTATGCTCCAAATTTCCATTCTTACACGTAAATGTAATATGTATCACCTGTAATGCATAATATGTTGGTTAAAACCCCTTTTTGGTCCCTGAATTATTGTACGACCCTTGATTTGGTCCCTAAACTAAAAAAATCCCTGATTTGGTCCCTACTGTTTACCATTTTTACCCCGATTTGGTCCTTCCGTCAAATATCAACCTACGTGTCTCGTTACTTGATAGGGAAAACGATGACATGTAAAAACATTTTGACACCTAGGATGTACAATGTGACAAAAAAATGAAATGGCAAGAAAAAAAATCTTAAAAAATTTCTTATTCCTTTTTTTTTTCTTCGTTTGTTTTTCCTTTTTCCCTTTTTTCTTCCTCTCCCTTTCCTTTAACCTTATGCAAACTCTAACTCCTAATATTAAATTCGAGGATAACACAACAAATCAACAGATTAAACTCAATAGATATTTGACCTAACGGCTGCTGGGCTCGAAACAAAACCCAGAGCCTCACTTGCAGGAACTCAGCGGCTGCTCAAACCCACTGCCTGCTGGGTTCGATTTCGAACCTAGCACCTGCAAATGAACCCAGCACCTGCAAAAACCTAGCATTCGAAATTGAAAAATTGAACCCAACACCTGCAGTAACCCAGCAACTGCCTTGCCTTGCCTTCTTCGTATTCATCAATCAATTTTTCATCACAATCAAACAACAAAATCAAAAAAACAAAAACAGAAATTTTTTTTTTTTAAATTTTTTGCACTTGGGTTCGCAAGGAACCGAACCCAAGCATGCTGGGTTCCACCAAACCCAGGCACGCTGGGTTCGGTGCGAACCCAGACATGAACCTAGCACGCTTGGGTTCCTTACGAACCCAGGCGCTGGGTTCACAAGGAACCGGACCCAAGCGTGCTGTGTTCCATCGAACCCAGGCAAGCATGCTGGGTTTGATTCCTTGCGAACCGAGCGCTTGGGTTCGCAAGGAACCCAACGCCTGGGTGGGTTCGCAAGGAACCCAACGCTTGGGTGGGTTCAAAGGAACCTAGGCCTGCTGGGTTCCGAGGGGAAAGAGAAGAGAAAGGGGAAGGAGAAAGAGAAAGGGAAAGGGGAAGGAGAAAGAAAAAAGAGAAAAAGAAAAAAGAAAAAAAATTTTAAGTTTTATTTTTCATAATATTTTTTATATTATTATTTTTTCCACGTCATCACTTTTTTATTATATTATCTTCCAAATGGATTACTATATGACATGTCATCTGGTAACCATGAAGTAATAGGCCATGTCACACAATTTTTAACGGAAGGACCAAATTGGGGTAAAAAAGGTAAACAGTAGGGACCAAATCAGGGATTTAATCAGGGATTTTTTAGTTTACGAACCAAATCGGGGGTACGTACAATAGTTTAGGGACCAAAAAGGGATTTTTAACCTAATATGTTTTACCCCATTGCATAAATTGTTCTTTTTGTACACAAAATCGAGAAAAACAACAGCATCTGCATTTGCTACTGTGACAAAGTTCTAATGTACGGAGGTCACTCAAATGGAATAATGGAATCCTTATTCTGCTAAAGCTCTGGTCCACAAATGGTGGAGCCATGAATTTATCAAAAATCTAATCTTAGCTGATCTAAGAAAAGTTTTTAACTCTCAAGAGTTGCACCTACAGAATAGGTTAAAGGATTAAAGGCTTTAACAAGACTATATAACTGCAAAATCATCATCAGAAGGAAATTTCTACTATAAATTAACATCTGAATGCAGGCTGTTATTTAGTCAATCATCAAAAATCAACTAAATACCCCCACCCCAGTAGTAATTCTTGGGGAAAAAATCCCCTTGCTACTATGAAGGGAGGAGACATTTGGTCATGTTAATTGGGAACTGAAATTCTACTACGCAAAAGGTTCATAAAATCAAAAACCTTCATCCCCTACTGCGCATCAGGGGTTTTCTGAACACCCAAAATCCGATTCAGAGTTTCCAACATCCGATGTTGGATTGTCTCCTTGAAGGGTATAGAAAGAAAAGACTAAATGTTTTCTGTTGTTCATAAAACTTTCTGCTGGAAAAAGGAAAATAGTGAACATTAAAAGCAAATTTTCTACCGTAACAGGAGATGTAGGAGATGAGAGAGATTACTGAAGAGAGGGAGAGACTAGTGAGGAGGAGGAGGAGGAGGACGATGGGAGCTTAGAAGCAGGAGGTCCTTCGTGGATCGGACAGTCTATAATTATATGTTTTGGTAGCCACGTCAGCTTTTTTTTTTTTTGGGAAAATTGGCAAGGGACACCTCAGCGCAATTAATCATTGATTCAGCGTATATATAATTATGGTGGGAGTGGTCGTTAGACATGGTAAAATTGAATCCAATTCGAAAACTTGACTCCACTTATCGGTTACAGGTAAGGTTCTGTGTATTAATCTAAAATTTGAAATGATTTGGATTGAAATTATTCGAGTTCAAATGGGTCGGATCACAGGTGAATCAGGTCATCTGAAATGATTCGAAATTTTTTTTATTTATTTTTATTATATTATTTAAAAATTAATATTAAATTTCTAATTTCTTAATTCTAAAAGTAAGATTAAATAAAATACTCAAACCACCTCTAATTAATTTCACTTTCTTTCAACTTTTCCTTTTCTCCACTCTCGCTCTACCTTCTTCATCTCAAGCTTCCTAATTCTTCTCTTTGGTGGCACTTACATTAAAAATTAGATTAAGTGATACATAATGAGTTATGTTATATGACATCGTAAAAAATATTATTTTTTAAAAATAAAAAGCAAGAATACTTACTGAAAACCAAAACCCAGTGGTTGAGATACTATGATAACTATTAAAAATACAACGACAAAAATATCAAGAACATCAAGGTCCGTTTTTAATTACTAATTTGTTCTTAATTAATAATTTGTTCCTAATTAATAAAAATCAATTCTAATCCAATTTTTTATTGTATTTGGTTAGACTTATTTTGGATTTGTGTTTTAAACTTTAATATTGAATGGGGTTATATTTTTTTTATAATGCCCTCCTAAATATTGAATATAATTATATTTTTTGTATAATACTCTTATAAATATTGAATAGCCACTAGATATTAATATATATATATATATTAGATTTGTCTTTTGAACTCTAATAATTCATGTCTTTTCTTTTAATGATGATTAATACCTTTATGAAATTATGAATTCTAAATATTATATATGTATTATATATTTGACATATATTTTAGTTTTTACCTATATAATCACTAATATTTTCCTTTCCTTTTCTTGAGATTGAAAAACAATTGAATTTTGAAATTGAAATTAACGCCTAATAAAA